CGCCCCCGCTATTATGTGAAACATGAACATAACCACAAAATGTGGGTGTACGACTATATACTTGCCTACGGTTTCATGGAAAGCAATAACTTTATGTTGTGTTACTTTGTACTCAAAATAAGCGTATTATAGAAAATACGTTTATAGAAAATACGTCCTATATTCTATGATCACCAAGCCACATCACACAAATTTTGCTGCCAAGCCAGAGGTTTATGGTTCGATTTAAAATCGAGTAAGTTACATAATGCATAATTATATATTGTGCTCTCATTACTTCAAATAATATTACCGTTACATCTTCGCCATTATGAAATCTATATATATAAAAGAAAATCGTGTTAGTTACACTATTTATAACTCAAGAACGCCTCAATCGATTTAGATGAAAATTGGCAGGGAGGTAGCTTAGAACCAGGAGACGGACATAGGATACTTTTATACAATACTTTTTTTTTTACTTTTCACTGAAAATCACGAACGGAAACGGGGGGGAGGGAAATGGGATTGCGCGTACGAAGTCGCGGGCAGAAGCTAGTACTCTATAATAAGCTTTTCTAGTCTAGTTCTATCTTAGTATGTTTTAACTAAATTTTACGGAAAAATACAACAATTTGCGAATTGAATGTGATTTCATCACGCACTTTAAAAAACTATTTTAATATCCTTTATTAAGAGACGTCAGAGGTTCATTATATTCCATTTGCATTAGATATTAAAATTTCTATGTAACAAGCTCTTACTAGGTAAAAGCGAGTATGGCAAAGAGAAGGTACCTATTTATTCTTGCATATTTTAAAACTAGAGTATACACTTTACCAAATTCAGAATACCAAGAATATATTTACTTTCTGAATCTGTATTCCCTGTAACTATAAAAAGAACATGTTTCATTACATAATATTATTAGGTATAGACTAGCACACCAGCTACTTTCAACACTTCTTTAATAGAATTTTAACCTTGTCAATTATTAAATTAAGTCGAAAGTGGCAAAAAGCTACTTAACCAAACCCAAAAACACCTAAATGTATAAGAACATTTCAATTTATTACGGCAATACTAATCAATGGATATAAAACTGGTAGGAATGGGTCATTGTGTACAAGGCTCATAAAATAACCCTCATCATCATTAACCTGCTCAACGTCCCGTACAAGTTTTAAGCATTAAGTAAAGGAAGTGAGGTACTTATGGTGTTACACGACCTTCACCTGTCAAGGGTTATATCGCTTATTCTTGATTTCCTTATCAAACGAAACATTTTCGTAAGTCAGCTAAATTTACTATATTAATGGGTTTCGGTTGAAATGTTATGATGTTTGGTGGAACTTTCCTAAATTAGTACGATTTTATTCTTGGACAGACTTTCGTTTTTATTACCAGAATAAAATGAAAACACTTAGGATTTAAGCTGTGTATATATACACAGCTCAAATCTTTTATATTTACAAAATCCAGCCAAGTAGTTCAACTAATACCAACATTAGAAACAACATTTAGAGAACAGTAGAATAATTGGTCCGGAAATATGTGAACCATTTATCGAGCAATTAAAATTAAATTCACTCATTTATTTATTTATTTATTTATTTATTAGGTTAACCAACAGTTATTTACACTCATACATTCATTACATCATAACAAATAATACTTTGGTAAGTGTAACAACTACTTACTGGCTAACACAACATGCACATAAAACGGTTAGAATAAGTTACATTAAAAAAAATTATAACATTCGAACACGATCAAGCAACATAACATAAAAGTTGCGATCGATTAATTCAATTAATTATGGGATTAAATTAAATTTGAAATTCATTAGAGTCGATATGTGTAGGATTACAACCAAGACAAGGGTACCTAACGTAATTAGGCACCTGAAACAATTGAATACTAATTGACTGAAACAATTGAACACTTAATTGAGAATAGTTGCGATTATTTTAGATATCATTAAATTATTGATATAAAATTGTATTATTATTAAATAATTATTATTATTATAAGCGACCCTGGGAGCATAATGTAATAATTGATTTACGAAAACTACCAAGGCTGTCGTGGTGCATATCTATCACGTCACTGCAATTGTTTATGACGTTCGCTAATCTGGTAATGGTTGAGTTTGCACCAAGAACTGTTCTGCGTAGTGGAGGACAGAGGGGTGTTATGTGACCACGTGGGTATCTGGAAGGCGCACGAAATCCAAATGAGCTAAGTAATATGGGGCAATTAGTTTTATTCCTGATTAATTTATACACAAAAATAGCATCTGTAACTTTCGCTCTGGTTGACAGTGGTAGCATCCCGAAACATCGCAATCGGGAGTTGTATGAGGGAAGGCATTTAGCTTTGCCTTTTGAAAATGCTAGATGCCATAGGAAACGCTTTTGGACTCTTTCTAAGCGCAACATATGTGCAGCGTAGTGTGGCCTCCAAACCACGCTGCAGTACTCCAAGATACTCCGAACCAAACTATTGTACAGCATTATTTTAGTGCGACTCTGTTTAAAACTCGTCGTATTTCTTATAACAAACCCTAACATTTTTGAAGCCTTTGTTGTAATTTTTTCGATGTGAGGAATAAATGTCAGTTTATTATCGAACAGGACTCCCAGATCTCTGGCGCTTTCCACCCCATTAATCTCCTTATTATCCACTATGTATTCTGAGCGTATAAGAATCTTCTTTCTGGAAAAACTGATGTAAAAGCACTTTTTAATATTTAGCTCCATCCGATTGCAAGTACACCATTCATATAACTTGTTCAGATCCTCCTGTAGGAGCCTAATATCGAGCGATGATTCGATACATCTCGCAAATTTTAAATCGTCAGCGTAAAGAAAACAAGTCGAATACTGAAGGCAATGGGGGAGATCGTTAATGAAAATATTAAATAGTACTGGGGCTAGATGGGAACCCTGAGGAGCTCCGGATGCTATAGGGAAAGTCTCGGAACGGAAACCATTAACAACAACATAGAATTCACGTTCAGTTAGATACGATTCAAGCCATTTCAACAAATATCCGGTAATACCATACAACGACAGCTTATGTATCAATATAGCATGTGAGATCCTGTCGAACGCTTTACTAAAATCGGTGTATATAACATCACACTGCTTGTTAGAGTCTATACATCGCACCAAGAGATCTGTAAAAGCCAACAAGTTTGTTGTTGTGGACCTGGAAGCAACAAAGCCGTGTTGGTGGTCGCTAATATAAAGGCCAAAGTGGCGCTGAACATGACAACATATCATGGATTCAAAGACCTTAGCAAAAATTGATAGAAGCGAGATGGGTCTGTAGTTGGAAATGCTTTCTTTTTTGTTTGATTTAAATACCGGCACCACTTTGGCTCTCTTCCACTCAGCTGGGAAAATTCCTGTACATAAGGAGGTGTTATAAATCAGTGTCAAGGGAACGGCAAGTGCCGACGCACATTCCACAATAAAAAATGGGGGGATGCCGTCAGGGCCGGTTCCTTTACTGATGTTTAAGGTTTTCAGTTTCCTCAGTATATCATCGCTATCTATTTCCGGGATTGTTAGGCATTGACTGTTATGTAATGAGCGCAGGTAATCAGAATCAGAGTGGTCGTAAACCGAGTCACTGTCAGAAGTGTAAACAGATGAAAAATACTGAGCAAAGAGATTGCAGATAACTGGGCCATTTGACGATGTGATCATTCCATCCGTCATAGTTAGGGGGTAAGTACTAGTCCCTCCGCGTTTTGCTTTAACATGAGACCAAAAAAGTTTTGGGTTTTTTTATTCCCAATTCCAAATTCTCCATGTACTTTTGGTACAAGTGTTTAGCCATACTTTCACAGCGTTTAGTTATCAATGATAACTCGATTTTGTCTCTTGGATTTTTATATTTTTTGAATCGTAGTCTTAACTTATTTTTTTCCCTAAGTGAATGTATCATCGCTTTGTCGAACCAGGGTGGATAGCGGTTAGTAGTAGACTTACATTTTGGAACAAATTTCTCAATTGCGTGGTTTAAGACATTGTAAAAAACTTGGACCATATCATTCACGTCTTTTTTGCTTACAAAGTTTTGGTGCCAGTCCTGTTCATTTAAGTACGATTTAATTTGGTTATAGTTGGCCCTATAGAAATTCAATTTAAGGTTTAATTTATTATATGGCAGATAAGAGTCTCCTACCAACGATATGTTTATATCAAGAGGAGGATGCAATTTATCCGGGACGATCAATGCCAAGCTCGATTTACTCACCGAACACGAAGGTATTGTAGAAAGGATCAAATCCAAAATACGCCCTGAACAGTTCTTTATATTGTTGTGTTGGACGAGTTGATTTACGTGTATGAATTCCATTAGCTGCTGGCAAATATTTGAATTCCTTCCCGTGGCAGCTTCTGGATTCCAATCGATTCTGCTTAAGTTGAAATCCCCAAATATGCACACTGAAAAATTGTTTTTTCTTTCGAAAATTTTATTACAATTCTCAATGAAGTGCTCAACTGCCAATAGGCATACGGGCGGCGGAAGGTAGACCACACCCATAAGTATTTGGTGTGTACTACGCGTAGCAGAAACGTCAATGGTGACCCAGAGATCCTCACATTCACTCTGCCATTCCAGATTAGATTGAGAGTTGAGTTTTTTCAAAACGGCTATTAGTACTCCACCTCCCTCCTTGTTACAGTTGAAACCCCTCGCCTCCCTATCCCTCCTGTACACCATATATCTATCATCAAACAGTTCGCTGCTTAGTATATTGCTATTTAGCCAAGTTTCCGTCAGTACTACTACATCATAACTCATACAACAAAGATTTACGTAAAAAGTATTTGTCTTAGTTCGAAGACCTCTACAGTTTTGGTAATAAACATTCAAATTATTGAATTTTTAATTTAGTATCACTTAGTCAAGCAAAATCTTGGGATACACAAAACTAAGAAAAAAAAACAATTAAATTAAATTATAAAATAACTAACAGATAATAACAAACAGATGATAATATATTATATTATTTTTTCCAAGCCATTCACACTCCTTATTAATATATAATCGGAACCTTCAGTTTTCCTTACGAAGATTTTGCCGTTTCTGATCCAAACGTACTTATAGTTCATTTCTTTGGCTTTTATCCTGGTCGCTGCATGGAGGGCTCTATTCGCTGGAGATAGATGTTCCGCAACATATACTGGAAACTTTTCCCCAGCGAATCCCAGATGAGAACAGTTCAATTTATTTTGCGGATTATTTTTGTTGTACTTATTTACTGAAGCCAGCATATGATCACGAATCCTAGGTGTCGCAAGTTGTGCCACTATCGACCGTGGACGAGCTCTGGTGGTATTTGCCTTAGCAATCCGCGAGCAATGCATGATATCCTGTTCCTTGATATTACAGTTAACTACTCGACCAAGTTGTGTTACGATGCTGAACAAGTTCTCCCTTTTGTTTTCCGGCACGCATTGTATCTCCAGGTTACACATCCTGGATTGTTGCTCCAAACTATTAAGTCGACCCTGTACTTCGATATTCATTTTAATCATATTTTCCCTTGATTGATTTTGCTCCTTCTTGATATCTTCAAAAGAATCATTAATGAAATCCATAGATTTTTTTAACTCCTGAATTTCCTCTTTGATTGGCGCAAGTTCCCTGTATATGGTATTGGTAATATTTAAGTTTATCTGCTTCAGCATATCTCTTAATTCCTGTTTAATAATTTCTTGTATAATGGAACGAATGTCATCTTTGTTAAACTCAGGCAACACGGGAGATAAGGCTTCGGTGGCTTGCCTTTTATTTGCTCTGATTGTAGATACACTTTTTATGGGGGTAGAATCGCTCCTAGATATCCTTGGTGTGCTACTCACACATGTTGGACATTTCCAAGATTTTCGCGACCCCGATTTTTTTGGAGACTCCTTAATTGACAAGCAGGCGTAATGATATAATTTAGTGCATGTATCACACTTCAAATACCTGCTGCCAGATGGTTCAATTTCGTTAGAACAACAGCCCCACTGATCAGAATTACTAGCCATAATAAGATTATAAAATATATATGGGAGGGAAATAAATAAATCACACGATCGCCGTGTGCGCAAGACCTCTTCGCCAATTTCTTTTCGCACTCATTAGCAGGTAGTCAGCGCGGGTGCACTCTGTTAACACTCTTATTACCACTACATAGGTCCGCGATTTGCGCGCACTGCACAAATTGTCACAGTTGTTGTGTTTGTTTTGTTCTTTTATTTTGCACTAAACTCGTTTTTATTCACTTTACAATGTTTACGGAATACAGATAATCTATTGATTGTCACTATACACCACTTAACTTTGTTAGAAACGAACAGATTCCGATATTTGAGATTATTTAATACGGAGCTCCAATATCGTGACTGTTAACCGTTGGTTCGCGCGAGTATTTAAATTTGTTTATGTAGATATACGCGAGTATTTAACTCTTTTCTAAAATATAAAAGATCGAATTTTTGACCACTCTGACACTGACTCATTGTGACCAAACGGACCAAACTCAGTTCCTGGAAAATCCACAAACAACACGTTCAAATTAAAAACTCGTTCGACATCCCTATAAACCAGAGAACCACTGAGAGAAAAGTTTATTAGTCGATGGCATCCCTACCCTTCATTTTGAACCAAATTGCATCTGACTAAACAAACGCTTTTCAAAGGATCCTGCATAGGGTTGCGAGTGCTGCCACAGCAATTCGTATCGATGTCAACACATCGATTTGATGCTAATTACGAAATTGAATCGGTATCGGGTTTAGATCGAGTAACACCATTCGTGTTCGAATGTTTCGTGTTTTAGTGAGCTTACTTACGACATATAGAGGTTACCGTATCACTAACAGGAATTTCACATTACGAGTGAAAGCTGTTTACGCGGTTATATTTATCGAATATTTTACGTAGCATGAATAAATTACTTATTATTACTTTCTTACAACTAGACGTGAAACTATTTCCTATATTTGTAATGGTTTGTGGTTTCTACGAAAGGGTTGATAAGGGTTTCTTTATACTAGGATATTGACGTGTTTTCCCAAGATACAATACCATAGTTCTATTGTAATGAAAGCAATAAGTGAAATATACGAGTACCATTAACCCATACCTAGTATTATTTTTGAAAATATTATTAAAAAATACTTTTTAAACACTTTCGGAGATGAGACATAATGTTTGGCATTTACGCTTTAGGTTCTTAGATCAATAAAGTAGTTATAGCACATAGTTTATTTTTGTTAACAACCTTTAGATATCCAGCCTTACTCATCAGCTTTTCCAGAACTAGCCAGTCTAGACTTGGCGCCGGAACTGACTCATTTGTTTACTGTTCTCTAAAATTCATTCACATCGAGTATTAACAACATTTCGAGGCTATAGAAGATTTTAGCACAGTTTGTATCCGAAATTATTTGTTTTGAGAGGTTTTGAGTGATTAAAATTGAGTACTTATTTCATTTTAAGCACACAAAATTCTGTTTTATTCACGATATGTTAAAGCCGTCTATTCCTAGTTGAATTATATGACTTTTGTTTCACTTTATTTCTCCCACCCTCGCTAAATAATAAAATGTAAAAATTCACAGAAGAGGTATTAATTTTCTCATACATTTGGACACATGCCTCAAGGGGCCTATATAGAGTAGACAGCTAGTCGTACACAAAAAAACAAAATATTTTTTTGTTTGTACTTGGTCGGGAAGGTCGGTGTCCTTCAATAATAATTATTTTATAGAAACTCGACAGATATCCTTAGGACTTTTTTACAAGCAATAACTGTATGAAATATGTAGTTTAAAAGATGCCTCAGAGTGGTTTCGCAGAATTTTCTCAAGTGGATGAATATTTAATAATTGTGAAAGTAAATCCTTAGTATATTTGTAAGAGAAGTGCTTTTTCAGCGTTACTTTATCATATCGCTGAAGACAAAGGAGTGTCACAGACGGACAATTTGTCTTCAATGTAAACCTCATTATGTATACTTGATCCTTTTTACTTGAGACAATTTCCTTCGCTCCCATTTGACTGGTGGATGCCATTTCAAGGTTCAATAGATATTAAGATTAAAAATATCTCGGTCTATATCGTTGTTGTAAAAATGTAGGTAACTACTTCTTTTAGATGACTTCTTTGACATGCTTTTTATGAACAATTCTGGATATGATTGCCATAAACAAAGATAAGAGGTTGAAGTTTAAGTTTTTATTGGAACCATCTAAAAAAACTTGAAGAATATAACGTCCCAGAATCAAAGTTCCATTAATGTGGGCTACCGTATTTTTGGTCACAGATGGTGTAAATGTAGAATAAGATCTTTATTTAAATCACAGCAATTGTCTAATATTGTACGTCCAAATGTCACAGCGACACTAGTTAATTCCCTATTGGACAAAGAACGAAAGGCCGCCTTGTTAGTAAAAATACGCTGGGCACTTGAAGATAAGCGAATAAGAATACTGTGGATTTAAGAGCATCTTTTTATATCATACGTCATCAAGAAATGAGTATAGTAACGTTGTACTTACTGTTAGAGTAGACGGTCAAATTAAAAGCATCCACTATCGGCTAGCTGACATGAAAAGATTGATAGATGTAGAAAAAGTGAAGGAGGTACGGCAAAATTGGAGTGCTTGGTTATCCATTGTCTCTTTCCAAAATGTGATAAGTATATTGTCGTGGTTGCCGTAAGGTTTAACACCGCTTCTCATGCATGAGGGTGACACATATAACTTTTTCCGAGTCATATGCACATACATACTTTCTAAGATAATTTAGACATCACTCACAAACGGTGAAGGAAAATAAGTAAGTATAAATAAAATAAATAAATAAATGAATAAAAAAATATTGTGAAGAAACCTGGGCTATAATTTCCAATAATAAGTTTGAAATCCTGCATTGAGCAAGCGTGGTGATTAATGCTCCTTTGATCAGCAATGGCTACTTATAAGCTGGTGATGATAAAGTTTAAGTAAATGTGCAACTCTGCCCGTCTTCTGCCATGTTAAGATAGTAAAGATGGACTTAATTGAACGGTTCCTATATTTAGATTTATGAATATTTATGAATAAAAGGTCAGTTTCAAACGACCTTTGAATAAAAATGGCAGGTACTTGACAATTTTAAGCGCAAATTTTTTACCTTTATTTTAAGATAATATAATAAAATGGAATGAAAATACAAAATATATATATATTTCCTGCCAGTTTTGATAGAAGATAGGTAGAAGGAAAATATAGTCATAAGGAAATAATTTTACCCATACCGTAGGAAGAACCATGTCATTGGGGTTTACCCGACATACAGCTGATAACAAAATTGCCAAGAAAAATGTAAAAAAAGACAGAAATAATAATATATTCCATATACGTTGATATATTTACGCTGATTATAATTCAAATATTTTATTTACTTTTTAATTTATTACAGTGGCACATGGAGGCACTCCCACATTACATGTATTATTTCTCAATAATACACACATAATACAATCATTATTTCTCAATAATACCTGTACCTAAATAAACTTAATTTTCAATGACAATAATCATTTATTATAATTTAAGTTCCAGGCCATTATTTTATATAATGATACCCATCCTTCACTATGGATCCTATACAAAATGGGTCTCATTCCATAAACTCAACCACGATTGTCCATCTAGTCACGTGTTACTACTAATGGGTACGTACAATCGAACCACCTTTCCACCTGAAACGATAGCCTCACTGCTAGCATTCTCAACGTGCTAACCATTGCCCCAGCCATTACACATTTATACACCCTATTCCTATCACAGTAAAGACGTGAGTTGCTTACAGGAACAAGCCTTAGATGGTATCATTAAGTGCGATTGTACAAATTGAGTGGAGTTATGACGAGGCATGAAGCTTCGTAGGAGCGCCCCCGCGAATCTTGAATTTGTAAGGGTAAGCTGGCAGTCATCGTTGTAATAAATGATCTTGTTGAAACGCTACTCCGCTATATACGAGGTCGTTGGCTTACTGAATAATGGCAGCCAGTATAATTAGCATAACTGCTTTGTACTTCTGCGTAAATATATATTAGCTGCGGCCCGAGATAATGTTGCGCTTTAAAACTGTCAACCGCAGTCGGCTAAAATTCAGATCGCTTCGTTTTCATGTTCACCCTTCTGATCCCTATCTCCTTCATCTCCTCTAGGCCTGTTGCATCCCCTTTCAAGTTTAAGACCCCGAACAGTCACAGCTTTAAGAATTTATTGCGAGGAGAAACGATAAAATTTTACTACTTCGCATTTTTCATAGTTGTAGAATTTACAGGATTCGAAGAAATTTAATTAAAATTTTGGTTTGTTACTGTCTTAGTTATCTTCGGAATGAAATACTGGAATTGTTAGAAACGGATACCTTAGTCTGTAATGAAACTATTAAATTCTAAATGAAGTTAATCACTGTTACGTTTCGCAATAAAAGCCGAGTAGACCGGAGGGAGATGTCAAAAATGTATTTGTTCATTATAAAACGTCAGACAAGGCGGAGAGTGGTAACAACTCGTTGGGTATTCGTTTTATAGTGAAGATGAAAGGTTCAAAGGCTCAGGTGGCTTTGACGTGGATTCCGGGACCACCGGCAGAATATTTCGTCTGTTCCGGTTTAAGACTCCGACTCAAATCGACTTTTCTGTTTGTTTTGCCATTAAAAGGAGGTGACGGTACCGTAATTGCGTCTATAACCGGTCTCCATTGTTTGAATTTCAACAAAACAAAATATAATTTCAAAGTTTTACAATTAAATGACACAATTGTTCTGTTTTTCAATGGATTATTTAATTTCCTAAAATACACAGCTTTTGGTACAGCGCATAGCTTTTGGTACAATGATATTAAATTACTGAGAATTTTTAGTTAACAGACTTGAGAGTACTTTAACCAAATCCATCTGAAAAAGAATCTAATAAAATTGAATCCCAATATTACAATTTACATAGAAGTAAAGATAACTAATATTTTCCATTAAAACATGGTTT